CTAGTAGTAGCGAGAGCAAAAAACAACATTGCCTCCCACCAGTACTGATCAGTCATCATCATCGTCGTTAGTTCTTCTATCGTCATGTATTCTATTAGTTGTGTAGTAGTTGCATGCGTCAGTTTGCCGATTGGAATCATAGGATCGTATCTATCATTATCTAGAGAAGTGGGTAGTAGCACGAAGCAGAATGGAAAAATCGAGAAGAAAAAAAGAAAAGACTAACGTATTTTCCCATGTGTTAACATGGAGGGAAAAAAAGAAGCAATAAATAAAAGCAGCAGCAGTTTCATACCAATTCTTAAGATTAATAGAAAAGAATCATAAAAGATTGACAGTTGTTTTTCGCTTTTGATTTTAACGCGGGAAGGTTACATTCTTGTCTGTGAATGGCTAAACATGATATAATTGACAATGACAGGTCATTACATTATTAGTGAAAAAAAACATTAACTGACAATAAATGCGAATATGTCATATACTAATCAATATATACGACCCTCACAAGTCAGTTTTTGTTCTTGAACATAATATAAGAACAAGAAAAAAACGACATGTCCATCTTTCTTTTTTTATTAATTAGGAAATCTTATTGCAAGATGATATATATCTTTATTGGGCTTCGGGCAGTATTCCTTGTTGGTAAATAGAAAAAAAACAAAAGATATATTTATTAAATTATCAAAATAATTATATTTAAATGCGATTAGGCGAGTACAAATTGCTTTAAGTGAAAAACAAATTATTGATTATAAGCATCAAATGATTTCATTAGATCAAAATGAACATAAAATGAAACCGATTATCGATCAAAATCCACGAGGACAAGTACAAAAAAAAAAATAAAGATTTATTATTTCATTTTTTTCTGATTTCGCTTGTTTAAATAAAGATACCTTCACTTAAAATTAGAAATATTGTTCTCAATGAATCTTTAGCAATATGTCTTTATCTAGAAGTAGAATTAAAGAAAAATTTCATTTAAAGTAAAAATAGATTTTTGTTATTTAGGATTTAATACAAAATCAAGGAACTAAATTTTTACCTGAAGATCCATACTTACGAGCACAAGTACTACAATGTACTTTTGATGTACGTTATTTTTATTATAAACTTCATTATGTGTATAGTTAATAACTATTTCAATCTATAGTCACTCCGGCTGCAAAAATTCGGTAGTGAAAATGTAATCTATTATATATGGCATACGCCACCGGAACGACACAATACTGATTTATTGAACAAACATAAAGAGGTACTTGTAGATGAATTGGTTCGATGGAACAATAGGTTCAAACAACAAAATCAAGAAAATTTATATGCTGTCGGCAATCTATTTACATTAGCCGACATCTTTCTTTTACCACAATTAGCTTTTCTTGTTCATTGTGGCTATCCAATTCAATTGCATGAACAACTTGGTAATAAAAAAAAAATACATCGAAATCTTAATCGGAATTTGTTCAGAAGTAATGTGTACATACATACTGGAAAAAATCTTTCTTAAGTTATAGATATTATTTTGACTAATCAGAAAAAGAAACATCTAATAAATAGGACTGTTCAGTTAGAAAACAGGAATTTTCCTGTACTGACTTTTGCAGTAAACTTTCAGAAACATTGGTCAGCTTTAAAAATAGTCCATATACTGATTGTCATGATTAATATGTTCATCTAGTACTAGGTGAGATTGAGTTCTGTATCTAAGGTAAACAGTAATCCTTCTGATAATTGCGAAATCCATGCTATCCGTTTAATTTTAGACATGAGCGAACTCTTTTTTTCGAATCTAGTAGAAAACAAGATCAATATGAAACTTTTGCAATACTGATACATTCGATTAGAAACAGTAGATTGTTTGCATCTCGACATAATAGGGAGAAGGTAGATTTCTACATCAAATTTTATTCGACTCAGTTAAAATTGTCACTTTGTAGGATATATGTCTATCCAAACAAATATATATGCTACTAAATAAATGTAAAAAAAAAGACACTTCAGTTTTGACCGAGATTTATCCTTTATCTCTGAAAGTATCGCTCAAATTTGTAATTTTCTCGGTATATGACACATTTTGATAAGTGCAGTGTCTGAATAAGATTACGAATGCTAAAATTTAGATAAAAGATGCCTTAAAACCAAATGATCTCATCATTTTTTTTACAATATGAAATGACTGAATGTAAAAACAAACAAAGAATTCATCTTATTCTAAATCTCAATTCATGTATAGATTTCTATTACAAACATCTATGTGATCGTCCATCAATTCATCAATCATTTCCACCTCATTGGTTAACAGCTACTTCTAACATATTAGCCGACTGTTCCAAGCTTATTCTAAAACAATAATGACTCTAAAATATTATTTTTAAAAACAAAATAAATAAATAAAGTTTTAAATAAGTCTATATACATATTAATGGATTCACATAATTGCAGTAATTCAGTAAGCCATATATTATAAAATATTGCTCGTAAAATATAAATATTTTTTCATATTTAACTTGTACATTTCTAGACATCATAATTTGTTTTAATAGTATATCATATTTATCAGCAGGTATTTGTTCATCTTGAATTAAATTGATGTTTCAATGTTACGTGGCCATGAAAGAATTTACAAAACGTTTCTCTAGATCTATAGAAAAATATGCTAATCCTGTAGAAAAAATATTCACAACAACAAACTCGTTTTATTTCTGAATTTTTGATCGTTGAGGTTAATAGAAATATGTAGACACTCCCTAGGTGATAATTTATAACTACCTAATGATTACTCAGTTACTTAGAACGATTCATTGAAATATATACATTAATCGAAACATAAGAAAACATTATCTCTTATTTCATATGATATGATTTTAATTATTCATTGCATTTCGTTAATATATTAGCACTACTCTAATCAAATAGATAAAATCATTAATAAAAAAACAGAATCCTTTCGTAGATTTTCATCTAAATAGTATCGAAGAATATTATTATTATTATTATTATCCGACGAGTTGATAATCAAAGATTGTTCTTATTAATTGTTCATTGAATAGAATTATTAACAAGATTATCGATGAAGAATTTCATAATTTCGTAGAATCCATCGCTAGAAATATCTTCTGTATAGAAAAAATTATATTTCATACTTCTGACTTGATTGTTGTGCTAATTGATTTAATATGAATTGATACAATCAGTTTGATAACAATTGACGGCATTTTCATTCTTCAGTATAAATTCGAACGATCAATTGGATGTTGTTGAGTGTGATAAACAATATGATTCAACTAATAATAAAAAGTTTTCCGTAAAAATGTTTACGGAACTAGCATATACTATATAAGTATCTGTGTTACAGATATGACTAATTATTTATCGAATAACGAATGATGCGAAAGTCTCTAGATGAAATATTTATTTTTATTTGGTTCGCTTGAAAGTACTGTAGACCGATGAAAAACTATGTGTTAGAGAATTAGAATTTTATGCTATTTTTGATTTTTCATGTTGTACCTCTAATTAAATCCGAAACTAAATGTTGAAACCTTTGTTCATACATCAAGTTCTGGACGACAATCTACTCTAGGAAAAGAACTGTTTGAGTTTCTTTTTGTCTTTCCATAAAGCAATTAAATCTGCATTTATTCTATTACCATAATTTTCTGATGAAATAATATTTTAGCTAGAAAATATCTCTGGAGAAAATCTTTATTGCTTCACTTGAGTAAGCGAGACAATTTGATTCAATATTACATTTTGTAAAGAATTATTCGCTTTACGATATATTCAAGGTCGATAGATTTTAGTACTTTCGCAAAAAAATTTATAAGGTTAGCAAAAAGCTGTAAGTTTATCTTCTAAATTAAGTTTTTAGATCGTTTAAAGATTTTTTCACTATTTTCGATTGAAAACTTCTGAGTCTTTAGTCAAAATGAACACAAAGTTTTGGTTCCCATCTATACTGTTTCATTCATCTAGAGAACTTTCAAGTAGATCAAAATTGAACAAACAGTTTTTGTTCAGAAGTTTTCACGCCATCTATTAAAATAGAACGAAGAATACTCCTATTATTCGACTACCTTGAGGTATGGATTACTTCCTAGTGGTAGATTCAATAGCTCGATGTCTTCTCTGCAACTAATATTAGCTGTAGCTCTAGAAAGAGGCCCAGCCTAGCGCAAAGGTTTTTGCACTCAATTGTTAAGCTTCCCATACACACTAATTAACCATATACTAGACACAAGAGCATGTGTATGTCACAACGCAGTTAGCATGCCATCTGGTGAGTGATCCAAGACAAGCAGGCGTTGATGACTTGTCCCGTCATTTCATTGCTGATAGTGTCAAGGTTTGAGTACAGTATCTTGTAGATACGTGCCAGACTACGTACCCACACAGCCATGGCACTCCATTGCCTGTAAAGAATAAAATACCGAAGATAAATAGATCATTTTTTGATTACGCGCTTCCTAAACTCCTCTCCACAATAGAAAATCCCGAGTCATCTATTGTGTTCAAGCGTACAAATTTTTCAGGGGGGGGGGGAACCTTCTATGACGAGGAGGAATTTAGTAATAATAGTTACCCATTAATGCTGATGTCAAGAACTTTGATTTACCACTATCGGATGTTTACTCACAAGCGAGAGACTTACGTATGAGACTCAGAATATTTGTAATTTGTAAATAAATTGACGATTGAAAATGGATTCATTATCTACTACGTTGAAACGATAGTCAGAGACTTTAGATTTCTGCATATTTATTATTTTTTCTGGAACACTCAAGATTTGTTAGTAAGTCTTAGTGTGCTACTAATGTTATCGATAAAAAAAAATATCTGCTAAAGTTTTATTTTACAAAAAATACATAACACAGTCTAATAATTTGTCTTAGTTATTTTCTTATTACAAATATAAAATCTTGTTTAAAATGCTCAATGCTGTTTGTTCAGAACATAAGACTAAAATATTTATTTAATCATTCTAAACATTCAGCTTACTTTCATTTTACATTGTTTGGTCGTAGTTCAATAAAATTTGAAGCAATTATTGATTGATTAGGATCAATTATTTTTGATTTAACAACAAAATCATTCTGATTATCACCAAGACCATAACGTGTAAAATGTTTAACCTAAAAACCAAAAAAAAGTTCTATATTCAAAATTAAATGAAATTTACTTTTCTTTACCGTAAATGTCCAAGATCCATCATGAATTCCATAATTAATAAATTCTCCATCAAATTTTTTAGTTATTGTACGTAAATAATAATCATAATTCAATGCTTTTATACGTTTAATATCAGTTATTTCTTCACGTGTACTTCGATCAATTGGATAAACACCAAGTAATGTTATACGAGCTGGAAGATTTAATTCTTCACCAACTAATGGTTTATTATTATCATCTGGATAAACAGTAACTTCATGATGGTTGATTTCAACTAGAAGAAAATAATATATATATATACATAACATATTCAAATGATTATATTTTAATTTTTATAACTTACTTATTTCATCAAGATTAAGTCCAGAAACATTAATTTGACCGTAGAATGTTACTGAACCATATTTTTCATGTCCAACAGTAAAATGTGGAAGGATACATTCACTATTATCATTAAATAAAGATTTTAATTCAGATATAGTTGGTTTCATATAATAATTATCACGAGTTAAAATTGGTAAATGGCAATTTTGAGAGTTTTGTTTTGATTTACGTTGAATTATTGGTGATGATGATTTTTGAGAAATAATAGGTGATTCAGAATGACGATTTGGTGATATATCACGGTTTTCATCTATAAAATTAAAGAAAAAAGTTAATGTTCATATTATTTAATCAGATAGACTTACTTGCTGAATGTGATATTCGTTGATTATAAACTGTTGTGGTTGGAGAAGATCGTGATGCTGTTTTATTAATTAAGTTTTCAAGATCAGCTAGACTTCTTGCAGGATAGAGTGAATGAATAGAATTAGATTGGTATGGAGGATCAATAATAGCATTCGATAAACGTAATTTGGACATTTTAGTTTGACCAAGTAAAACAAGTTCTTCTTCGTCAGTGAAGTTTCCTTTTAATGTACTTTTCATTTGTCCGGTTGGTATTGTTGATTGTTGATCAGATGGTTTTATAGTATCATTTAGTGTTGGTGATGATGAAACAGGTTTTAATTTAAAATTAACATCAACTAATGAATGACATGATGATCCTTTTCGAAAATTTGTTTGTATTGGCATTGTACTCGGTATTGATGTTGATGTTGTTACTGTTTCTGTGATGGTTGTTGTTGATAAAGTTGAAACTACAGTAGTTTCTGTAGGTACCTGAATTTGATCAATATTTGGGAAATCTTTTTTTCCACGAGTAGCATATGGATCAAGAAGTGATGCCGCAAGAAACCGCTGTTGAATCATTGAAATTGACTGTTCAGTATTTTGGTCTTGTTTTGCTACTTGAGATATAGCATGAGAACCAAGATTATTTGTTGTGTTCGACGTAAAATTAGGAAACGATGATGTAAATGGCGTAATTGATGTTGTTGTTGAAAGTGGAATACCAGAGATATTTGTTGTTGTTCCAAATCCACTAGGATTTGTTGTTGTTGCAAATACATTAGGGTTTGTTGTTGTTCCGAATCCACTAGGGTTTGTTGTTGTTCCAAATCCACTAGGATTTGTTGTTGTTCCAAATCCACTAGGGTTTGTTGTTGTTCCAAATCCACTAGAATTTGTTGTTGTTCCAAATCCACTAGGATTTGTTGTTGTTGCAAATACATTAGGGTTTGTTGTTGTTCCGAATCCACTAGGATTTGTTGTTGTTCCAAATCCACTAGGGTTTGTTGTTGTTCCAAATCCACTAGGGTTTGTTGTTGTTGCAAATACATTAGGGTTTGTTGTTGTTCCGAATCCACTAGGATTTGTTGTTGTTCCAAATCCACTAGGGTTTGTTGTTGTTCCAAATACACTAGGGTTTGTTGTTGTTCCGAATCCACTAGGGTTTGTTGTTGTTCCAAATGCACTGGGATTTGTTGTTGTTCCAAACGGACTAGGATTTGTTGTTATTCCGAATGGACTATAGTTTGTTGTAGTTGTATTAGTAGTACTGGACATTGTTGGCTTTGTCGATGCAATTGAAGATATTGCTAAATAGATAAGAAAAAGAATTAATATTAACAAATTTACTTTTTGTTTGACGAAAGAAAGTTAAAGATATAAACTGTGTCTTATATGAAATGATGATGGAAAAGTTAATTGAAATTTTAGATTTATTTTTTAGGTCTCTGTTATTCATTTTAGTCTGCATGGTTTATTGAAAGTACAAAAAATGATGATCAATGATATCAATTTAAAAAAAATAATAATACATGAAACGTACCTTGTGCAAATAGCGAACCAAATTTTGATGGCGTTGTTAGATTTGAGGCCAAGACGTTTGTTGATTGTGTTGCTGGTACTGCTTGATTTGTACCAGATATAGATGTACTACCAAAACCTAAAAATATAATTGCTAAAATAAAATGATCAATAACATTTTTCTTTTCATACTTGTAGATGTGAAATTAGCAGGAGTAGTTGACGTTGGTGGATTTCCAGATGTACTAACAGTTGGTGTATTTTGTACTCCAGCACCGAATACAAAGGATTGAGATACCGATGGAGTACCTGATGTAATTGATGATTTTGATCCAGTCGAAACAGGAAATGTAAATGTCGAATTTAATGTAGCAGGACCTGCAGTAGTAGCCACCGATGGTTTACCCGTAAAAATAAACATGAGTTCTAAATTTTGTCGAAACTTTAGTTATAATTGTGAATAAAACACGAAATTCTGAAAAACAAAATAAGCAAAAAAGAGCTTCAATAAAGGTTGAATGTCTACAAACATATATCCTTCACAAATATTGTAGCGTGAAATGTTTGTTGACTGATGCTGTCAGCCAATTTATAATAACTTAAATGAGTCAGATGTGGTACTTGCAACAGTGATGTCAATGACAAATATTGCGCAATTGTATGAATTGTGACTCAGGGTTTTTTTCACACAACAGTTGTTGCTTTGAAACTTTCTCTTTCGTTCTGAATTGATACTTAATAGGACAATTTAATAGCAAATAACATCACTTAATAGATGTCGTATTGTTAGTTTGAATAAATTTAATTACAAAATAGTTTTAAACGGAAAAATTAGTTCAATTTTCTAGATTTTAACATTATTTTATACATATTCATTTGTAATTATCATCTTTGAATTAATTGGTACATATTAATAATAAAATTAACGAATAATATAATATGTCGATCGTTGTCATTCATTACTCAGTTCGTTTATTTGCTTTAGTTTCAAATAAATATATTTAAGAGTAATCAAGGTTACTTAGTTTTTCATTTCTAGATTTCTTCATTTAATAAGAACAAAAAAGATAATTGATTATTAATTTCTTAGAATAATGGAAGAACCTACTAAGTCAGACATTGATGCCATTTTTAAACGATTAAGAACAACCCCTGCCAATAAGGTTTGTCAATAATTTTTTGATTATATTATATATGCATACATACATATATATTGATAGATGTGTTTCGATTGTGATTCAAAAAATCCAACATGGGCATCAGTTACATATGGTGTATTTTTATGTATTGATTGTTCAGCAAGACATCGTGGTCTTGGCGTTCATTTATCATTTATTCGTTCGACCAATCTTGATACTAGTTGGGGATGGCTTCAACTTCGGTATGTTATATTAATATACTAAATTTCGTTCTTTATTTTCTTCTATCTTAAGAGCTATGCAAGTTGGTGGAAATGCTAATGCTGTTAGTATACTATCTTTTAATGATCAGTGAAATTTCTAAATTTGATTTTTTTAGGATGCATTTTTCCAACAACATGGCTGTCAGACGAAAGATATTCAACAAAAATATAACAGTCGAGCGGCACAACTTTATCGTGAAAAACTTCATCAACTTGCTTCTAAAGCAATGAAGCAATATGGAACTAAAGTAATCAAATAATAAAAAATAGAAAAGACATTTATTTTAATTCATATTTATTATATATTCTCTTTAGATTTTTCTTGATGATGGTCATAAGAATGAACACAGTCAATCGACAGGTGAAAAAAAAGAAGATGATTTCTTCCATGAACATTCTCAAGCGTCAGCTAAAACTGGTTGGGATGATAGTGTAACAGTTTCTTCACATTCCAGTAACCAAAGTCTTGATAAGAGTAATCCATCTCTATTTACTTATTCTTCAATTTCTATTTTTTACTTTTTACTTTTAGCTGAGCAACAAACAGAAGGACCATCTGTTGATCCAAGTGTTTTGAATAGTGATGGTTCAGTGAAAACACTTGATCCAAAAAAAACAACTATTGGTCAACGTCGAGCACCAGCAGCGAAAAAGGTATGTTTTACTTGACTATGGTGTCAATTTCGATTGTGCTTTATTTGTCACTTTTTTTATAGAAAGGTTTTGGTGCACAAAAAGTAACAACTGATTTCAAAGAAATCGAACGTAATGTTCAAGAACAAGAAAAAATGCGCGAACAACAAGCTCATCTTGAACTTAAAAATCGTGAAGAAACTGAAAAACAACTTGAAAAACAAATGTAAAAGGAAAATATTCATTATAAAAATAGTTCAATAATTTTATATTTTAGGGCAAATCTTAAATTTGTTTATCAAGATATTAATAAACAACGTGAATTAGAAGAAACAAAATTAAAACAATCAAATCCAAAGAAAGCTGAACAAATGGAGCGTCTTGGCATGGGTTTTGCTAATCGAAGGTAGAATGTAATAGTTGATTCATAAAGACTGGAACAGTTTGATTTGTTTTTGTTGAAAACAACAACGTAATTTAAAGATAGCATTCTGATTTTATTTGATAGAGAACTTTTCACTCTACAAAACTATCGACTCTGCTCTTCAAATAAGTATTTTCTGTCGCAAAAAACATTCGAAAAGCTTGACACCCACTCAACCATTGAACTACGACTGTCAGAAAACAAAACCATTATTAAACATATATTTAAATTACAACTCCGTCGAAGTTTGAAATATGCTGTATCTGGCGATGTTTCGTAGTCTTAGAAAAAAAAATTGGCAGAACAGTTTTTCAAGCAAAAATAAGAAAACGACAGAAAAGACTTTTTCTGGTAGTTCTCTACATTGAGGAACAATCTAAAAATTTTCATTGTTCAGTTTACATGTTACATCATTTTTGCTCAGAATCAAAATCTGCATTTCATGATATGATGATAAACCATTCATAGAGCACATTAACTTTTGAAAGTACGAGTTTCGAAAGTGCATTTAAAAGAAATACCACCAGGTATTAGTTCCGAGATTTCTTGCACCTAAATGACATCATTGGAAGTCTCGAGAAGATCTGGAAAGCATAGAATGTAAAATTATCTATCAATTGATGCTAAATACTTTACATTTAGCATCGAGTTTGATGGGCACAAGTTTGTACAACTCGTTAGATGTTTACGGGAGATCATAGTTGAGTAGTAAAGCAGCCTTCAATCATTCCAATTTTTTTGTCCACAAGAAAACTTATCAAAAACAAATGAAGTCAAAATTTTTGTAGAGCAAAAAATTGTCTATTAAAGTAGTTTAGAATGATGTCTTTAAACATTATTTTCGTTCTTCAAAACCGAAAAGTCAAACTGTTCGATTATTTATGAACAACCCTTAATATCTAATTAGAACAACAGTAAAATCCTTGAATTTTCTTGATTTAGTGGTGTAAGTCATAGTGCTATGACTGATATGCAAACAATTCAGCAAGAAGGTGTAACAACAACAAGAAATATTTCTCTTGCACCACGAACTCGAGATTTTTTTGATGATTATGAATCATCTGGTTTTAGTAGTAATCGATCAAAGTATGTATTTGAAGTTATTAATCCAATTATCATTCAATTTATTATTTAGTTATGATGTTTTATCATCGAAAGATGATGATCAATATGACGAGAGTTCTAAAAAGTACTCATACAATTAATAATAGCTATGTCTGTGCTGTTCTAACACTTTAACTATTCGAATTTTGAAAATAAACGAGACAAAGATTTCTTTTATTGGATATAATGCTTATTTAACTTATTCTTCTATTTACTTATAACTAAATTTCATTGAAATATAGTTTTAACTAAGAACGATATGACGGAAATCCATTTATCTTCAAATGTTCATATGCTATTTCGAACTTGAATATATTGGTGTTGATGTGGGATAGGCTGATGTAGGATAGGCTTCCGCTTACTTATTGTATCGTGTCTACGAAAATTTCCAATTATAGTTGAAAAAACTGTCTCCAAAGTTTTAGAAAACAACTTTTCTCAGTCATTTTCTGCTATATAGATTGACTCTAACTATCTGTCGAATTTTTAGACGCGTCCATTTCGAAAAACAAACATTACATAAATATTTTTTCATATTATTGATACTTGAATCATTCGAGATTATTTCTATTTATGTTCGAAATAAAATGAGAATAATTACTAATGATTATGATTATTAATTCTTTCAATAGATGATTGACTAATTCTAATTAACATAAAAGTAGTCATAGAGAAAAACTTATTTGAAAAAAAAAACACGACAATTATTTAAGTCTATCGAGTTTTCATTTTTTTTTTTTTTTTTTTTTTACAAAGACTGGATGATGATTTATTTAAACAAAAATCATCATCAAAAAATANTAAATAATAAAGAAGTTTTCTTTTTTCTATAGGAACCTAATTTATAATTTTTTTACCAAATAACTCACAAACATTATGATATCATAGATACAAATAAAATATACAGAGAAGTCTTTTGCATATATTTTTTCATGTATTAACTTCGTTTATTAATCATATCACATATTGAAGTGATACTGGTGACAAGAAAAGATATTGATTAACATGTCCTGTTGTTACACTAGGTATACGTCTATTTACCTATCACAGAAAATAATCTTTATTCTTTATTTTATCTTTATTTTATAAAGTAGAGATAAAGTAATATTCCTAGTTGTTTTTGATAAAATATTGATATTACTTTTAATCAACTAATATATTTTTTGAAAATAAGTAAATTCTTATTTTTTTTAATGTCTATTAATTTTCAATTAATAGATTCTGAGTTACTCAAAGGAAGATTGATGTGTAATAGACATCACTTTTAACAATCATTCTCCTGCAAATAAACGAAGAGAAAAGATAGTAAATTCTACTTCTGAAAGAATTCATCACTAGTAATGATGGGTGATTATTGAGGTTGATAAATATCAAATCAATGACATCTAAAAGTGGATTAATAATGACAATGAATCAAATTGTCTCTTTTCACATGTTTAATGTTCGAAATCATTTTGACAATTGCAATAATAAATTAAAGCTTTTGTTTTACTGCAGACATCCATCATAATTTTCATTTAAGAGATCATGTAGTTGCATAAAAAATAGAACTGACAAGACATAAAAAGGTTGTATTTAGCGTTCTAGATAAGTTGTCGAAATAATATCAACTACTATTAGATTCTCAATAGATCTAATTTATTTTTACTGATATTTTATGACCTTAAAATCTGAGTCTTTATTAGAACAACAAAATAGTCTTTTACTAGTTTGATGCGAAAAGATATGCGATCTTCGATTATTATAACTTCGATATATGCAGAAAAGATATCCTTCGAACTATATAGATGGCATTAGTTTCTATCTAATAGATACCTGAATTATATGCCAAAAATTTGTATTCAACCATAAAAAATCTTCGAATAGTTGTATAAAATATGAAGACATTGAAAGAATTTTAAGAGATGAGAAAGATTTTTTGAGACCTTGCGCAATTAGTTTAATATTTCTGATGGTTTTATTTTTCAATGAAATTTTATCATCTAAAAGAATAATTTATTGATTTCGTGCAATCTCAGCATATCTGTAGAAAAATTTTCACGGAAGTCGAATGTATTACAATGTCACGTACTGAAAATTAATTTCTAGCATGCAAGTCATTATTAGATTGATGAAATAAAATATTTTGTTAATGATATCGCACTCAAAAATAAATATTTAACGAAAGCTATTTGACTCAGGACATCACGTAGTTGTAGAATAAATTCGCTCTATCTCATGGGACGAACAGTATTTCATAACTGTCCCATGAGATGAAAACTATTTTGGAGAACATATCATTGTATCTCATGGTACCAATACCTATTGCGAATTGCTATCGTTTTTATCAAAGAAAAATACAATTATTCTGATGTAGGCGTCATTCTTCGTTGTACAAACAAAACTATAATGAAATATAAAACAGTTTTCTATTTTTATGCAGAGTTAAGAACTGTAACCAATAAAAAGCCAAAGAAAATACCAACAATAATGAATCAACAGATAACGAATGCAAACGTCTGATATTCTTGGATTTATCGAATACAAGATGAGATAATCTCAGATTCGGTAGCCATAGTTGAATCAATAAGCGTATTGATAAATTATCCTTGTTTTTAAAATACGTTTAATCATTTAAAGTTCTATAATATGCGATAGAAAATTTTGAAGATCATTCAATCCATTGGAACATTAGACTGAAACAGTTCATACTATAAGACGATTCTTTTCATCTCATCCCATTTCATGCGAAGTTCCGATTTCAATGTTCACAAAGGACAAATCATTCGTATAACAAGAAAAGATCTTTTTAGACAAATGCAATAAGATTAAAATTATCATAGATCTATTTTATATCCCCGAGAATTTATTATTATTTGACAAACTAAAACTACATTAAAATAATTTTAAAAAGAACCCGATCAAATCATCATTCACTAAAATGAAAATAATAAAAAAAAAAAACAATATTTGCATAATTTGGTTGTTGAAAATACACATTGCTCATTCAGATATAGTTTCTCTTGGTGGAAGATCTTCATATTTTGGCGGAGTATCAGCATAACATATTGTATGATCTAAACAATGAATAGATTACAGATTTAAGAAAAACAAAAAAAAAAAAAATTAAGGAACTAGTTGATGAATAGTTAAAGCAGTCATTTGTTTTTTCTACTTCTGCTAAAGGTTTTGAGATATTCATTAGCATATATATGATGACAAAATGAACTACTTCTATCGTATCATAATATTTAATATAATGTAAATAGTGTCTTCTACGATCTAAAAACTTATTTTTGTTTCAGAACTTTTTTCATGATATACAGACGAACAAATTCTAATTGATTGTTCTTACTTGTATAAGTGATGGTTGGTTCAGTATCAACAATAATTTTATTACGATCATTTCGTTCAATTTTCATTTGTTCGATTACTTTTCGTTGTATAGATATAAGAACAATATGAACGAAAAAACATAAAACACCAATAATTAATTGAATTGTGTTAAGTATTTGAGTTAAATTAAATAAATTTGTTACTTCCATACATGGAACATTCGATGAATAAGCTTCTAAATTATTTACAAAAATTGTTCCTCGTGGTAATGATACAGTTGTTTGACATATTGGATGTATATCTTGATTATCGAGAATTAATGCAGCAATTGAAATTGCAATAAGACCCGGTGCTAATATAATATTAGCAATAAATGACCAAATTTGAGCGTGTATAAAACATCTATATGATTTCTCTTGATATCCAGCAGCAACCGATGCTAAACCAGCAATTATAAGAAGAAAACCTGAGATAATTCCAGCATTAATTGGTGAAAAATTTGCTAAACGATCTATTGATATATAATGTATAACATAAGCACAAAAACCAAGTATAAATGATATCCAACCGAGACGAAAAACAAGTTTATTTCGCTTAAAATTTATTCTTGATGTTTGTGGTTGAATTATAATTGTTGTCGAAGGAAGAGAAGAGTGGTCATTTGTAGTATGCATCTAGAAATTTAAATAGATTTTTTTGTAAAAATTATAATAAAATGTCTATTAGATGCTTTGGTTGTTTTTTTCGATGGTTTGGTTTAGCAATACAATTATCAAAAAAATCGCTACAACAGAAGCTTAGTGAAAGACAACATAAAAGTAAAACATCAATTTTTAGTAAAGCATAAAGCAAAAAGAAACAGAGCAGTACATTCGCAATGAAAAATTTAAAAAAAAAAAGAATTTGTTTATATTCATCAAAAAGATGCAACATAAACACAAGCATCAAACAAGCAATTGGAAAAAGAAATGCATTGTATGGAAAAAAAATAATGATGATAAATAAATACGATGTATATTTATCATTGAGTTAAGGTTTATTTGATGACTGTTTGATTATGTGCAGAAGCTCTAGAAGAAATGAAAAATTTCTAATAAACTAAAAAATTCTTTCTTTCTTTTTTTTTTCTTTTACAATTTGCCATCACCATCTAAAGATTGCATTGGTGCTGAAGATACAGCAACAACTGCAGTTGCAATAGCTGCTGTATTTACTAAGGTTCCAGCAAGTGGTTGAGATTTATTTTGAATATTATTACCAGAAGCATTTGTGGTTATATTGTCATTTTTTCGAACTTCATCATCTGAATCATATTCATCATCACTACTACTTGACGATAAACGGAAGTAATTGTCTTTAACAAAATGAAATATACCACTAATAAAGATAAAAGAAACGTCATTTTAGAAATTTTATTTGAAATAAATTAATCAAAAATTTTCTTACGGTTTCTTCGGTGAAGGATTAGGTGCATTTTGTAAAAGATTGCGATAATGTTCAGATTGTATAAAACGTGAATAACTATTTTTTTTCACTAATTCAATAATATGTTTTTCAGCTTCAATAAAAATGTCACTTTAAAATCAAACAAAGAAATTTCAATTTAAACCATTAAATTTTTTGTTTTACTTTACCGATCAGGATTATCAAGTTGTTTAGTAATTTTTGTTCGTATTGTATCATTTATATTAACTTCTTGTGGTGCATTTGGTGCTAAATGTTCTCTAAACAAATAAAAAATACTGAAATAGATTATTTACTTTTATATCAAAACAAACCGATAGACATAGTCAGCCTTTTGTTTTATTTGTGATAATGGACAATTACGTACTTCTTGCACATGTAAATAAAAATTGAGACTTTCAGTTGAAAAATCAGCTTTACAAAATTTCATAAATTCACATACACCAGTTGGATCGGAAAGAAGTTCTCGACAATTAAATGACCAACGACGAATACGAAGTTGAGTAGGATTATCAACTCTAAAAATCAAATAGTTTTTGTTGTTTTCACATATTAAATATATATATATATAAAAATATGTGCATACAATGGTTGCATGAGAGTCCATCGTTCTGTATCTGATGTTAACCATGGATTGGATGGTGAACAATGTCCCAAAAACGGATCATAATCACTGAATAATTCGAAGAATGCGCATAAACTTTGAAAAACACAAAATAAAAAAATATAATAAAAATTAGAATTTCTTGTTTTCGGATAAATCAAAATGAATTCGAAACAACATAAAGCAACCGGGATCAAATGTGTGGAGAAGTAAATAATAAAAAAAAACAGGTAACATTGATCGATCGATAGGGATGTAGGGATACATGTAATAATACATAAATAAGGAGAAAAAAAACCTTTGATGTGTTTGTGATGATTTTGTGCGTACACGATTGGTCAATGTCTGTTGCAGATATTCTAGCTGAAAAAATGGTAGTTCAATCATTTTTATTCTCTAACTAATGTGTTTCGTAAAATCTAGAGAAGAGTTATCATGTAAACTTACACGACGTCTTATTAATTCTTCACGTTTCATCGGCCGATATGTATACAAATCATGTCGTATATCCATTTCAAGTATTGATGCCTCATCCGGCTATTCACAATAACATAATTTATTATAAAAAAAGGAAAAAGAAATGATCAATTCAGAAACTTACTGAAGGTCGCATAACATGCCAAAAGGCTCGTTCTTGACTGTCAATAATTGTTTTATCGGTTTTTTTACGATCTTTGAGCACACTGTAAAAATAATAAACATAAATAGAAAACAATTCTATATCAACAAAACTTTCTTACCGAAGTTGAGCTTCAGCTTGCATTGTAATAAAATCCCATTGATGAATTAATTTCTTTTTAAGATCATCTAATGCATGCTAAAAATATTAGAATTTAATATTATTTAACAATGAACAAGAAACAAACCATTTCATATTCTTCAAGACCATGTCGTTGACGATTTCTTAATGTTCGTTTTAATAAATAAATAGCTAAATAAATAAATCGATAGTTAACAAAAGCAAACAAAAAAAAAAGTCTTTTGTGTTCAACAAACCATATTCAACATTGCCTGTTGTCCAATTAGTCGAAACCCAAAAATATGGTGCTTGAAAACGAAATAATTCATTGTCATCTTTAATTTGTACAGCTCCATTTGTTGTTACATGGAAGAAATAACCATAATAACATAATAATGAAGCAAGATGACGTGCTTCAGCTACATAACAAAAACAAAACAAAAATTATTTTCAAAGATATACAAATAATCTTATTCACCAGTATCTTTAACATTTAGTTTTTGAATAATCCATTCTGATACATCATTACCCGTAAATGCATTTGGTATTGTGGTAAGAAATAATTTTTGTTCACGAACAGGTACACCTGCTGTTGGATGTTGCATAGCTTTAACAATACGTTCCATACGTTGAAATTGAAGCGAACGTGGTAAACTTTTACGTTGATTATGCGTCGTTATTTCCATTACAGCTATGATGTTCTAAAAGTGCATTAATGACAAGAGAAAGAAAAAACATCATATAAATGTATTGATTATGTTTCTTTGTCGTTTTCACAGACAACAAGAGCATGATACACAGAAGATGTGTAATAGGAAAAACAAACTTTTAACATAAACAACAGAAAACGTCGTATTAAATACCAGGAAGTACAAGGATAAAAGAAAAGAACAAAACATATTTATTGAGATATTAGTTGAGAATAAGAACAGTTTGTTGCGTAAACTGGTAATAAATAAAAAAATTTTAAAAAAACATACAGAGGAGTAAAAAATGAATTATCTGACAGAAAAAAAACAAGCTTTCTTTTCACGTCATAGCACATTCTTTATTCCTCTAAAAAACATCTTTCTTTGTATTAAAAAAAAAAACAGCACGTTTATAGAAGCAAATTAAAAAAAACACGGACAAAGCAAAAGAAAAAATATTTGTTCATTATTATTGCAGTATATTGTCAGATTTTACATTTTAAATTTCGATTTGTTTTTTTTTTCTTTCTAAAAACTTAAATAAACGAAAAACAACGGCAGAAGAAGAAGAAATAGACATACACATGAACAGAGATTACCAACAATAATATATAATAGAAAAATAGCAATGTAAGAAATAAAAAAAGAAAAAAAGATTATTTTGTTTTGTTTTGAGTATTATTACATGATTTATTATTTTTTGATACGTTTTTGTTGATCGAGAATAGCAGTAAGAATTTCTTGTTTAGCTTTTTCAATCTCTTTACGTATTTCCGTTAATATTTCATTTTTGACTTTTTCCAGATCATTTGATATATTACTTGTTGGATTTGATTCATTTGTTTTTCGTGCAACACGTGGTGATGTTGGAACAGGTGCAGCTGTTGTTGTTGGTAAAGTTGATGTTGCTACTTTTGGTGATGCTTTACTAGGAGCTGCCTGTGATGAATCAGTTTTATCACCTTCATCAATAACTTTGCGTCGTTGAGCAAATTTAGCTGCCATTTCAGACATCAAATCCATTGGTGGAGCACTCGTAGCTGTACTTGATTTTCGTGCTGTATTCGCACCACCATTTCCATTAGCATTAGGAAGGAGTAATGCAGGTGCAGGTGGTGGTCCACTACCTAAACCATTAGGCAATGGAGGAGGAGGAGGTGGTGGTGGTGGTGGTGGTGGCGGTGGTGGAGCAGCAGGAGGAGCACTACCTGTTGTCGGCATGGATGGATTTATTGGTGGAGCTGGTGGAATATTAGTGGTTTTATTTGTTAAATTATCACCGTATGATGAATATGAATCTGAAATGAGTGCGTAATTTGTATCGTCGTCTTCAGTTGGTGGATGATTTTGACTATAATAATTATTACTAGTTGAAATTGGTATAGAATTTATTGATGTTGAATTTGGACGCAATTGAGTACTGTAAGACGGCGACGAATGTTGTTGTTGTTGTTGCTGTTGTTGCTTTAAATCAGATACAGAAGAAGAAGAAGAAGAATTGGACGTGGAATGGATAGATACTGTTGTTGCCGTCGAAGAAGGCGCAGAAGAAGAAGGCTGGTTGGTTTGACGTATATTCGACGTTGCACTGTTATTATTAGTATTATTAGTTTGTGTCATCGATGGAAGCGTTGCTTGAGTATTAGTATTCGTCGGAGAAGAAACATTAGTAGAACCGTTGACACTTTCCAGAATTTTCATCATTGTAGTACCAAATTCTTGTGCATCAAGTTTTGATGAAAAATTTAGTCCATATACACATGATTGATCACGCCACTGATGAAATGTAGGTGTTGCTTGATTATATTTAATACCTTTTATTATTGAATGATTTAAAACAACTTCATGATTTTGTATTTGTCGGCCAACAATACGATATGTTTGAGTTTCAGGAGCAAATAGTAATTGAATTTTAGCTGGACCATTTGGTGCACAATGTATCCATTTTTTTTGTGTATCATTATAAATCATTGCTGTTGCTTTACAATTTGTTAAAATATCTTCTTTTGGACTGTTACCAACCATTGTTGGTGGTGATGGTGGTGGCGGTGGTGATGATGGTGATTCAACCTGTTTTGTTGATGAAGATGATTGATTACTTGATGTTGATACAGATGAAGCAAGCTAAGAGAAACAAAAAAGGATTTCTTTAATTCATCTCTATTGTATTTAGTTTATATTGTTCAGTGTTGACAAGTGTCTTATCTATTATACCTTAGTAGTACTTCTCAAGTTTGATGATGAACCCGCAGGCAGTTTCTTTCCTGTCGACATGTTTCTGCCAAAATAAGCTCGTCTCACTTCTTTTTCTTTTTTTTTTTTTTTTTCACTTGACGCAATAGGAGAACAATATACAAGTGTATGTGTATATATATGTGTGAGTGCAAAAGAAGAATATCAGATAGAACAAATAACGTATGCAGGAATGGTATCATCGTCAGGAGAATATTCCTTCTTATTCCTTTTTCTTTTTTTTTCCTCTTCATGTATTGTATTTGTCGTCATTCTCATCGCGTGCAATTTATGAAGTACTATAAACTTGTGTACATTGATGATTACTCGCATGTGTTTTGTTCATATACGTGCAAGTAGAAAAAGACGAAGTGTCATTGTGAATATATATATATGTATTATTAGTGATAGTTTTAACATGAAGAATAGATCTTGTGCAATCAAATCAATTGGTATTTATATGAAATATGGAGAAGGTTATGCCAAATAAAGATAAGATGATAAATAACGAGTAGTTGTTTGTTCATCTCCCAGTTTTGTTTTAGTTTCTCTTCTAATTTATGAATGCTGATTAAACTTAATAGAAAAAGAATTAGTCAACGATCAATGACATTGATAACATAAATACGTATAGGACAATTTTTCATTTATCGTTTGAGAAATTCTTTTAGCTAAGACAACAAAACAACAACAGATGCTTTAGACGATTATCCCAAACGTACGTGCAGAGTCATGCAATGTCTTTCTTTTTTTTTCTCCTCTCAGCAGGATATATGGCAAACAACGCGTTAGAAAAAGCTAATCAATTATCCGTGCGTATGCGGATGTGCGTGTGTCTGCCAACGGCGGCATATTCGCACCATTTCATCTCTATACTATCATAGAATAGAATCCTAAAAGTAATATTTAAGGGATGACCTCAATTTACATAGAGTGAAGTGTTTAACATTTTCCTCACTTATCTTTCCTAAAGAATATATAAATATTATTCTTGAATTCAATGAATATCTAATGTAAATGTCAAAAGGTATTGACCAAGGACAAAATACAGATTAAAAAAAAATTCCATTCTGGTATTTCTGTTCATTAAGAAGAAGAAAATATTTTCCTGTTTGTTCTTTATTGTTTCTAATTCTACCTGATCATATGTATAGCTCAATTCATCAGACATCTTTTCTGGTTCTTCTGATATGGCTATTTGTTCTTCAATATTGTCATTTTCAATAATTGTTGTCTGTTTCTCATTAGAGTTTTCATTCGGTTGATATTTGTCGTTAATCACAACCTTGTCACTACAATTAATAATCGGTGCTGAGATAGTAATAGGTCGAGTAGGCGTTGTATGATTAGTATTCAGAGTTGAATAAGATCTAAAATTAGGTGATAATATTGTTCTTATAGATGTCTGTGTTCGTTGAGAGGAATCACGATGTTGCTTGGATCGAAACAGGTTAAACTTGCGCATTGTTACGATATTTATATGTATGTATTTTTTTTTTCTTTTCGTTCGTACTTACAAATCAATGTTTTTTATTTGTAACACACTTTCTGGACTTAGTCATCGAATATTAATATGATTACAAAACTGATTTTTCTATTTAAAAAGAAAAAACTTTTTATTCTCTCGTTTTTTTTTTTTATACAGGTAGGCGTCCAGTAAACATACAAATGAGTAACATATGCTCGTGTGTCACATTAAATGTTCTACTAATAGCACAGAATTTGACATGAAAAGGAAACAAAAGGTTTTTATACCTATTCATCAATAAAATTGGAAAGAAACGAAAAACAAAACACTATATCAATGAACTATCAGACGAAAAAGAAAAATGATTGATGATGTTACTGTTACTGTCTGTCAAGTGACCGTAAAATAGCTCAAGTATATTGTAAAATACAGGAACACAATGAATCATTCGTTTTATTTTGTTATAAACATACCTTTTATAAATATGGATTAATTGGAAAATAAAAAAAAAAATCACAAGTAAATTTCACTTGAATTCTATAAATAATAAAACTAATAGATCATGAAATTTGATTATCATTCGTTTTTATTACCATTGAAAATAAACAGATCCTGAGAATGAACAGGACAAATATTTTTCTTTGGCTAGAATACAATTTTGTTCATTCATCTAGAAGAAAAGCAAGAGAAAAAAGAAAAAAAGCAAATTTGTAAAACAATCATATGAAATGAACATCTGTGCGCTTAGATGTTCAATAAACTATAGTTATATTGACATGACCCATTTATTTATTTTATTTAGGTTTAATTAATTTTTTAATAAGAAAAATCTTCTATATGAAATAAAAAACTCGTTGAAAAAATAATATTTAATCAAATTTTTCAATTTATAGATCAATGAACAATAAATATGCATTAATATGTTAAAGAATATATCATAGAGGTTATTATCTTTATTTTCATTGGTTTAATGAAATATCAAATTATATTATTGATTCGCAGCATGACGAAAAAAGTTGTGTATGCCTGGCTATCTCTGTCGTCATATCTTATGATTATTTGTAATTATTTGTTTTCTTTTCAGATAGATTATGTCTATTTAAAATATTATCCATAAGAAAATCTTTCGTTTTGAAAGAAAAAAACTTAATATTGAATTTACGTTATGTTTCCAGTTGAACAAAGTCAATTATGTCAACATTAGTAACTGTTCGTCAAACAACAACGACCAATACAAATATGAATACAAACAATGGAAATAATAATATTGATAGTCAAACAACTGTACGTTCATATGGAATAACACAACCAATATCAATGAAAGGTCCTGATCCATGTGATAGATTAGCAACAGAAAATCTTGAAGAAACATTACGTTCATATGATTATTTTGAATCAGATGCTGAATTGGCACATCGTGTTGAAGTTATGGCCAAATTAAATACACTTGTTCGAAAATGGATACGTGATGTATCATTAGCAAAAAATGTACCACCAGAAATTGTCGATACAGTTGGTGGACGTGTACATACATTTGGATCATATCGACTTGGTGTTCATTCAAAGGGTAAAAGAATTTTTAACAATATTATGTTAAAAAAAAAAGAAGGGACTAAATTTCAAAAGATTATTAGCTGTTTATTTTTGACAGAATTATATTCATCTTCTAGATTTATTCGATTATAGTTTAGATTCAGATTTTATTTGACTTGATTGACAAAACAATATTTACTTGTTTTCTGGAAAATTTATTTATTATAGTTTTAATATAGATATGAAACCATAGATTTTATTTTATTTTTTTTCATATTGATCAAACTAGAATAATGATTATCAGTAGGATTCAATGAAAACTCGAGATAGACTGTATGTATCACATTGTTAATAATTAGAATAAACAGATAAGTTTTCATAGCCATCAAGTGATATGAGAGAAAAGTTCTTAGGGTAGAAAATAATTTTTCAAGTTATCGACTTTATTTATGAATATTAATGAAGAATTGTATGTATAATAAGATTAGAGATGTCTATGTTTATTTTGAAAATTACAGAATATTTGTTAGTTTTTTTTCTTACGCAATCAAAGAGAATAAGTTACATAATTAAGCGTTGAAAAGATACATTTGTTTAATTTCAGTATTTATTAATTAATCTTAATGAAGTTCATTTTATTGTTTATAGCTGTAATAAATTTCGAATATTTTAGCATCATCAAAAAATATTCTCAAAAAACAAATTGTGAAATGTTTTTGAAATTCGAGATGGTTAGTTTATATCAATACGAGTATATTATAAACGTAATTTTTAAAGTAATTTTTATAATAAATGCACAATTATTTACATGTAAATTTTTTTTTTATTCTAAATTTAATACTAAACTCAATTATTTAAGTATAAAAAAATCTAAATTCTATTTTTAGGTGGTGATATTGATACACTTCTTATTGCTCCACGTCACATAGATCGTACAGATTTTTTTACAACATTTGTTGAATTTCTTCGTCGTCAACCTGAAGTATGTGATTTGCGTGCAATTGAAGAAGCATATGTACCGGTTATTAAATTAACATTTGATGGCATTGAACTTGATATGCTATTTGCTCGTTTGGCATTAGCAACAATACCTGATACACTCGATTTAAAAGATGACAAAATTTTACTTAATTTGGATCAACGTTGTGTACGTAGTTTAAATGGTTGTCGTGTTACAGATGAAATTCTTGATTTAGTACCTAATCGTGAAACATTTAAATCAACATTACGTGCTATTAAATTATGGGCTAAAAAATGTGGCCTTTACAGTAATGCATTGGGATTTTTTGGTGGTGTTACATGGGCTATGCTTGTTGCACGTATATGTCAATTATATCCAAATGCAATAGCTGCAACATTAGTTCATAAATTTTTTCTTGTTTATTCACATTGGGAATGGCCAACACCTGTTTTACTTAAACCAGTTAATGATGCACATTATGGATTTTCTGTATGGGATCCAATGACAAATCCATTTGATCGTCATCATTTAATGCCAATAATAACACCAGCTTATCCACAACAAAATTCAACACATAATGTAACACAATCAACACAAAAAATTATTGTACAAGAAATAAAACGTGGTTTAGATATTGTTAATGATATAATGGCATCTAAAGCTGAATGGAAACAATTATTTACTGGCATACCATTTTTTCAACGTTATAAACATTATATTATATTATTATTATCAGCATCGGATCAAAATCAATTTCTTGAATGGAGTGGTTTAGTTGAAGCTAAAATACGTTTGCTTATTGGAAATCTTGAAAGAAATTTATATATTGATATAGCACATGTTAGTTCGGATAAATATACACCAGATGAAAGTGTTTTTGAAAATCAACAATTAAATAATAAAACATCAACAGAAAATGAAAATTTAAATAAAAATAATCAGAATAAATCAGCAGAAACTAATGGTCATGCTAGTCCAGGTAAAGAAGATTTTCTTATTAGTTATTTAAACGAAAAATATTATGGAAGATTTTTAAAAATTTTATTTTCTCTTTAACAATTATCTTTCATGTTAGTTAGC